AAAAAGTGTTTGTCATTTTAAATGGCAGAAAGTTATGTCATTTTAAGAGAGATACAGACACAGAAAATTTGAATTTTAAATTAAAAAAATTACTCATTTTCTCTCTCTCTCATGATTTCCGTTTTTCTGTGTCTATCTCTCTCCTAAAATGACATAACTTATGTCATTTAAAATGACAAACACCAAACCCATAAATAATATATTAATATAATTTGAAATTTTATGATAATTATCATAAAATGGTACATACAAAAATATTCTGTATTATATAATTTTTTATGAATTAAAGACATTGGTTTATTTTATTTAATAAGCATCCAATGAAAAGCGTGATATATATATACATATATATATATATATATATATATATATATATATATAGGTACTTTTTAATTTTATAGTTTTCATATATAGTAGGTAAAACATTAATCTCTCACACTATATATATCACGTTGTCCGTGTTTCAAACCCAACTTTAAATATATTAAGAATAGGAGTATCAATTACTAAGTATTATTTCAGTTATATATCATTTTTACCTTTTATTTAATTTGTATTATACTGCCAAAGTTGAGATAGTGCACATTTAATTATACAAAATAAAAGAACTATCTTCCTCTTTAAATACCTAAAATTTATCGTGATGAAATAATATTTATCCATCAACTGCATTATATCCATTGAATTTATTTTGGTTGAAAATATATCCTTTATCTTATTCATGATTTTTATTTAAAATTGTTTTATATTACTAGGACGTAGATGACATAATATCTATAAATTTAGGGTTCAAGTTTTCTTACGTTGTAGGATAATAGGAGAGAAAAAAAGTAGAGACAAGTTAAATGTGGGTTCTATATTTTATATTAAAAAAGAAAAGAAAAATTAATTGACACAGAAAACAAATTTGCGTAGAAAAATTTTTTACTCTCCTGTAGCATGAGAGTATTATTTTCGATAAATGTATTATGAATAGTTTATGCAATGTACGGTAATATTCATAAAATCATTTTTTTTGTTATGATTATTTTAGGTTTTCAAGACGTTATTATAGTCTTTTCAATAAATTCATTGGTTAAAAATATTGTTTCTATACTTCTTGAAAATAATTCATTAAATGGAGTTAAGTGGTATCAAATAGTTTCGATAAATGAATGCTCGCGATGATGTGACTTGCGAGAAGCCGAGAAATAACTATAACATATTATATATAAATAAATATTTTATTCAGGCTTTTTATTTGAAATTCTTGTATTTAATTTGGTTGTTGGGGTATATTGCATTATTCATAAAAACATATTTGTGTTGTTATGAATATAATAGACTTTAATATGTTTTTTTGTAGTTGTTAGATTTATTATTTGAAAATATTTTCTTGAAAATATTGCATTAAATGGTAAACTTATTAAAAATGTTGCATTACATGGTATTCAATGAAATTAAATAATTTCGATAAACAATTTTTTTTAAAAAAAAAGTAAATCAATGCTCTATACCATCACTCGTAAAATTTGGCATTAGGAGATCTGTAAAAATAAACTTAATTTAATATATTGCTTAGAGATAGATGGTTTTCTCCCTTATTTTTCTTAAAAATAAATAAATAAAATTTATTTTTCTTAAAAGTAAATCAACTTAATTTATTTTGCTTATTTTAATTGCCTTATTTTTCTTATAAAGAGATGGAATATGATATTGTGATGCTGTCGTGTTTTCTAAGAGAAATATATAAATTTCATTAAATCGTTGATGTGATGCACAGTTAGTAACTTCAATTTTCAAGGAAAGAACTTAAGTGAGGAGTTCGTCATTGTCAAATATAGTAATCGAGTTATAGGGTCCAGAAATTTTGCGGAAAGGATTGGATTGACAATATTTTGAAATTGCTGGAGAAGGTGGTGGTGGAGGACATGTTATGTAATGTAATGAAAAGAAAAATGTAATGAATCATGAATATTATGTGTTTATCTATTTAAAACAAAATCTCAACCACTACTTAATTAAGTGAAAGGTACTGCTAAATATCATATCTTTCCTTTTCAAGAAGAGTTATGGAAACCCACTCAACCCGAGAAACTGGCAATTGTCGGTATACACAATTTCTCAGCCTAAAACCAATGGTCCCAGTAGGAAGACTAAGCCCCTCAATGATGTCAAATTTACCAATGAAGTGATATATCATATATGCCTTGCCTTCTATTCTATCTAACTTATTTATCTATTCAGTTTGTGACACAGCAGCACGTAACATTGGTTTCCAACTTCTTTTGGGTTCTATTTTCACTTTTACTTTCAAATTTTCAATAAATAACTCAGACCAAAAAAGAAGTACTTTTTCTCTATTAGTAGCAATGAAATGATTAAGCATATGAAATCTATAGGTTTAATGTTGCTCCGTTTAGTGGAGATAAAGTTATTTTTAGGGAGTCTAAAACGATAATGTTTAATAAAAATTAATATAACTCTAAAAAAATTAGAATTACAAAAAAAAAAAAAAACATTTTTTTAACTTTAAAATGATATTATTTTGGACTCATTGAAAATAAATTATTTCTATTCACGAAAGATACATTAAACCATAAATAATTGACGGAAGATACATATAAAAACATTTATTTTGTTAAAAGTAAATAATTATATAGGCAATACCGTAATATATAGGTTTTCCAAAGAGATTTAGAGTTATTTATCTACACGTTGTGAGGATGTGTTTGACTATGGTGCATATTTATCTATTTTCCGGATTAGGGAAGGCTCACCTTTGATGGGTCATAGGAGGAGCCCGTGGAAAATTTCATGAGAAAAGAAAAGGAATAGGAAAAAAGATGTATAAACAGAGATATATATATATATATATATATGTATATATCGGGGAAGGATCCGTTTACAAATTTTTTTACAAATTACACTAAGTATGATCGGTCGTACACTCTTGATTGATTGAAGTATGACCGGTCATACTTAATATAATTTGTAAGAATTTGTAAATATAACATTTCCATATATATTTGTTAAACTGGTACTGGCATCTTTTAATAGGAGCAAGCTGTATTCGATATAAAATTGTTTTTGTATGATCGAAAGGTGATGGATACTGTTATGGATATATACCATATCCTAACTACCTTCCTAAGAATCCATTAAAGGATAATTACTCAATTATCCTAACAATATAAAACAGTAAGACTGCTAAGTATAGAGTCTCATCCAACAGAAAGGAAGTTGAATCCTACTACAACTGAGAGATCTACACAAGCCCAAGAGATAACCCTTATAAACAAGTAAACAAGAGGTTAAAGACCCCGTGTACATATTTTTGAACTCATTTACTATTTCTGTCCACATTGTGCACACACTCACATCTCGGCTATAAGCCTATTGTTTGTGCACAGAGATATTGACTATATGCGCTCAAAGATACCTATCTCTAGGCTATATATGAGCGCATACCATACGGTATAGCAATACGGTTCTCTAGGATCGAACATTGACTCTGTCTGTGAGAAGGGTTTCAAATTATGTAAGGGTAAGGTAAAGTTACGTATAATAATTGCCCTCACCTCACCCTCTCTAATCAGAGTTTAATGAGGAGAAGAGTGGTTTTTTTTTTTTTTTTTTGTTGAATCTGGTAACATGTATTCATGCAACCTAACTAGGTCTTTGACAACCATTATCAGAAAAACAATTGCTTTCTGTGTTAAATCGTAAACCTTAATTAAAACTTAACAAGGGAACAAATGAACCTAACTCACCTAATGGTATTTCAAAAGCTAGAAAGAACCTTATATGTGGTCTTTTTGAAAAGCAATGGTATGGGTAGGGGAACTTCATTGGCACTCACTTGCACTACAAGAACTGATTTTCACAGCTACCAACTAAACTACCTTTATCTCTTTGCAGCCACACTACCATGATGGTATGTGCTATTGCCGTTGCTTGGAGAACATTCAACATTATTTGTTATTCTTATCAAATTAATGAGATGATAATAATTAACGAACACAGATTCGTAATATGAAAAGCGAACATAGTTGTCTGATAAGGCAATAAAAGAAAGACAACATGATTGTGATGATAGCTTTATGATCCACTCTAATCTTAGTGCAGCTCCTGATGTGGGGCTGTGATGCCATTGCAATAATTCTTTGTGGCCCGCTCCATTCTCCAATATCTGAAGCTTTTGACACTCATAATATAGAAGCAAATAATTCCAAGAACTCGATCCTTAGCTTTCCTCTAATTTCTTCATAATAGCCCATAATAATAAAAGGAACAAACATGAAAAGGCCAAAGTAGTGGAAGGTACAGAGCATAGTCCCTACAAAAAAAGAAGAAGCGCAAAACCTCTAATCCAATAAGCTTATTAATCTTTTGATATGATTATATTGGTTGCTTATTTAATTTTTCTATCCTTATTATATGTTTATCATCGTTAGATTATATTTAAATCAATGGTTAAAAGAGAGATAAACAAAAGATATAATTTGTTGAGAAAAATAAAAGAAATAGAAGCAAAATAAAAAATATATATTATATTTGAGACGGTTGATTTAAATTTACGTAACGATAATAAAAAGATAACAAAAGTAAACAGGGAATATTATAAAAAAAAAAATTGGTAACATTTAAACGTGTAATTATTAGAAGGACACGAGGCAAAAGGTTGGAAACAAATTGAGATGCTTAATTGTTGGCAATTTAACTAAAGTTGGAAACAAACGAGCGAAGCGAGAGACATTGGTCAGTCACCGCCTTGTCCTTCCACATAAATAAAAGAGGAAAAGAAAAAACAAAAGACAAAGCGATGCTCATTGAAAGACAAAAATTGAGTGAATAGAAATGAGGAAGGGAATGGGCCCACGTGGTACCCCATCTAGAATCCCTTGACTTTTAGGACCCTCTCTCACTCTCCATCCTCAATCAATTCTCTCTTTTAATAAGAACCAAAAAATAAAAATAAAAATTCTCTCTTTTAAAAATCTTAGTCACCAAGAAATTAAGTAGCATGATCGATCACCTTTAAAGCTAACGGCGTTGGGGGGTTGTTAGATATTCAAATTACCCCTGCACCCTCCCCTGCTTTCAAAACCAAACCAAACACACTCTTAAACACAAAAAACAAGCCTACACATATTTTCTGTTCCTCTTTCTCCCTAAGAAAATTGAACCAGAAAAAAAAAAAAGAATGCTTGATCCAGGAAGAGACCAACCCACAATTTCTTTTCCATTGTCTGATGGAATAGGAGTTAGAACTCACAGTTATGACACTTGGGGAGCCACGAACTCTGGCTTCCGGGCTTCAAAGAAAACAACAAAAAACTACAAGAATTGTCATAGCTGGAACGATGTGGAAGTGAAATTCGGAACAGAATCAAAGGTGGAAGATGATTCAGGTTTTTGTTCTCCTCCTCTATGGACTTCAAGCCCAACAAAGAGTCCCCATCACCGCAAAAACTACTATCGATGTTTATCCCCTGCATCAAAGACACAAGCCATTGCAAACGGCCAAAAAGAGCTCATGGAAATGGTTCAGAACATGCCAGAATCATGTTACGAGCTTTCCTTGAAAGATCTCGTGGAGCACCCCAGGGTTGACGTTGGAGAAGAGAACAAAAATGTGCACAAGAGGGAAGGTGTTGGTATCAGAAAGGTTGATAAGAAGGGACATGTGAAGAGAAGTGGGAATATTGATAGTGGAGGGTTCTATCTGAAAATGGTTTTTCCAACTTCTCTGGGATCAAAGAAGAAGAAGAACGAGTCTTTGGGAAATAATAGTTCAAAGGTCTCTCCTAGAACATCGCTTTCTGATGGATCCGCTAAGAGCCTTGATAAAGAGTGGTGGAAGAAGAGCCTTTCAGCTTCTAGAGCAGAGAGTGAGAGTGGTGTATCGAGCATCAATAGTGGAAGCACAAAAAGTTCTGGTAGCAGAAGTAGCAGCAGCAGCAGCAGAAGTAATAGCAGGTATGCTCAAACCAATAGAAAATAGAAAGACAATATTTTTGAGTTTGTTCATGTTGGAATGATACAAAATCAATTGACTAATGGCAAATTTACTGGGTGAAATTTTTAAGAATCACTATCTAATTAACAAGGTATACACAGACGTTACTAGCATCTTTAGTTTTTTTTTTTGGATGATTCATCTTTAGTTTCTTACTTTATGTTGAACCTTCGTATATTTTCCAATGCTTCTTTGGTTCTGATGGGAACACTCAGTTGTTTGTTTGTCAAATTATGTTTCTTGCCAAATGTGTGATTAAAATCTTGATTGTGAAGCCAGTAGGTTTAGCCTGGTAGTGAAAGGTATGGTTAATTATGTAATAGGCGTTTGTGCTTAATTTCTCAATGTATCTTGAAACAAAAATCTTCATTGTGTCTTTGGTAACTGAAAAAGTTAAAGAATGAAGTCAAAGCATGCACAGGTGATCGGGTAGATTGGCCTTGCTTTAACATCATAAGCCACTGTCGATCCGTGAATGTGACACCAACTATTGTAATCTTTTTACTGATAAAGTTTCTGGCGTTTCTTTTAAGGACTTTGAATAAAATCAAATGTCCAAGGTGTGCAGTTCTTGTTTGTGGACAAAGTAAAAGGAGCTACAGCCAGGCTGTTGTTTGTTAGCTGGATGCATTTTTGTCGGGCATATATCTAATTAACCACAGAATGGTTTTTTTGTTTTGGGAATAGGATATTATATTTATATTATCTTAACAATGTTAGTTGAGATTATGATATATCGGTATTATAAATTAGTAAGTAGAGTAGATATAAAGAAATACGAGCATAATATAGTATTCCTTTCATTTTATAACAAACAAGGTTGTTTCTTATTATACAAATAACAAGAAAATGGTGTGGGGAGAGTTATCTCCATTATAATAGAAGTAAAAAATAAAGGACTAAGTCAGTTTGAACCTAAAAAAACAAATTGCCTAACAAATTATGAATGATAACTAAAATTTTTGTGTGCAGAAAAATAACAATTCCAGACCCTGCATGCGCATATTTAATACAAGACTCTTTTTATTGTGTGATATCATATGCTTATCATTATCTGTTAAAAATAATTAATTTTTGGATGCAATGTAGGCATGAAGTGAGTACTAGTAGTTGCTGGCCTTTCATGCGAAGATCCGAAAGCCTGTCACAAAAATAAGTGTTGCTTCTGCTGATCCACTGTATACTATATGGAATACATATTTATGTAATTATAGTTATCTGGGCTTTTAGACATGACGAGGCAGATAAAAGCAAGTATGCAATGTGAGGAGTGTGTTTTGAGTATATTTTCCCAGACAAGTTTTATCAATGTATCTTCTATTTTATGCTCTTTATATCTTGTACAAGATGAATATACATCTGCATCGGATGACGTTTTGTGATGAGTTGGATCGCAGAGGGAAATATGTAGCTTAAAGTTCAAGAGGAATTAATTTATGACAATGAATGAATAAGCTCATTGATGACATGTAAAACTTTTTATTACTCAGTCAGAGTAAGTCAAAATAGGAGAGATTTCATCCATGTGTCAAAATTTAGAGCTTTTTGTCACTGAAGCTCAAAATAGGAGAGATCTTTATACAATTATTAATGGATTAAGTGATTTTTTTTTATGTAATATGGAAGTATTCTCATTCAACCTCTTCTGACCATTTTGTTATTAGAATATGATCTTAAGGTAAATTCTTCATTAAAACAGAGAGTGTATTGGACCATTATTATTGGAGGAAGTGTGAGATCAATCCCCTCTTAAGAGAAAGGCGATTTTTTAAAGAATTCCAAAGAATTACTTTAGCCAAAGTTTGAATCCTTGACCAAAGAAATCCACTGGGTACTCACTTGCCAAATAAACTACCCTTTGCGGGTTGATTAAGTGATATTTTACTTGTATATCATATCTAAACCTTTAACCTCTAGGCCTTAGATTTATGGAACACTTATATATTTCTTGTTTAGTCTATTCCTACTTTGATGCCGACTTTATCACTCATCTTTAAATTATTGATATTTTTCTCGTTTATGAATTATATACAGAACAAATTAATTTCCAAAGAAAAAAATAACCCAAAATGTAACAATGATACCAAATTTTAGCTTCTTGGTCTAGCCTCGAATGTTTGACTCGAGTAAGGTAATTAAAATCGAGCTTTTACCTAATAATAAAATAAAAATAAAAAATCATAAAACATAAAATCATAAAAAAATAAGAGTGCTTGGAATGTTAATAAAAAGTAAAAACGTTTTGATAAAAAAATTATAAAAACATAAAACCGCATGTTTAAAATGAGATTTTAACTCGAGAATATAGAAGTTTGAGAGAAATTTGTCTTTATCCCCTATTGTTATAAGGCAAATATCATAATTATGGATTAAAGGTCGAAAGCCAATCACATTTCAAGATTTCATTAAAGATAGAGTTTGGTATTTTGATGTTGGAGTCAGTCACACTTCAAGATTCGAGACTCTATAATTTGATTTCTATTTTGTATATACTAGGGAAGAAGTTAAGAACGAGGTGGTGGAAATACGTATTGTGTGTCGTCGGTTTTTTATTGTGTATCGTAAATCATAATATACAGAAATATAATAAAAAATAATTTAAATTTTTTTATTAAAATATTTATTTAATTAGTTTCTTTATTAATAAAAAATTTCAAGTTGATTTTTGAGTTTAAAGTACAAATCAAATCTTTTCTTATTAATAATATTTTTTTAGATTTTTTTAATTTAAATTATAAATCAAATCTTTATTTCTTATATATTAAAAATTATAAATTTTGATTTTATTTTTGTACAATATGATATACGATAATAAATATCTTTTTGATACATCCTATTGTACGTTATACTTATCGTACGAATCATATCGTATATCATATTATAGTGATAACTATATTCAAGAACCAACAGATAAACAATAAACAAAGGAGGTCTTCTGCCTGCCTTTGTCACACTATTTGCAAAAATGGTGGCCATGCCTGTGCCTAAACAATCCTAATCTGTCATGTGAATCAAAGGGATGACCTTAACCTGCCAAATCAATATTGACATGTTGTTCGGCATGCCAAATGCCAGGGCAAGTGGTCTTCTGGGCCTGCTTTCAATCATCACCTCTACTTTACAGAATTTTCACCAAGTTGTCATGGGAATTGGGAGCAACCCCCTCTGAGCTTACATATGAAACACTTTCGAAGGATACGACTCGAATTGGAAAGAATCTTACCATTGTACTACGAACATAACTGTATATACTGCATGACCGTGCATATTATTGAATTAAAAGTAATATCATTAAATTAGACATAGACGGTCATTAAAATGTTGAAAGAACTATTCTTAGAGTACGTACATAAGATTTCCCCCTATATTGGGCTTATAATATTATATTTACAGGTCGACCTATATAACTTATTTCTAACATGTTTGGTTAATAATTATTATATTTTAAAAACAATCTTGATCATAAAATAAGTTATTTCAAACAAAAACGAACTGCACAGTAACTGCATGTAATGATTGGTGCAGTTAAAAGATCATAACTATGTACTACAGATTGTACATAATTATAATATTAAAATTACGTTTTTTAGAATATAACTATGTACTACGGGTAGTACATAGTTATAATATTAAAATTGTTTTTTTTCTCTCCTCAATAACTTTTCAAGGCTTGTCGGGTGACATAAGAGAGAGAAAAATAATGTTAATATTATGAGTTTGGTGTTTGTCATTTTAAATGACATAAGTTATGTCATTTTAGGAAAGAGATAGACACAGAAAAACGAAAATCATGGGAGAGAGAAAGTGAGTGGTTTTTTTTAATTTAAAATTCAAATTTTTTGTGTCTGTATCTCTCTTAAAATGACATAACTTTCTGTCATTTAAAATGACAAACACTTTTCCCTAATATTATAACTATGTAGTATGTACTATCACTAGAACATAATTATATTTTTTTTAAAATAACTTTAATATTATAACTATATATTATCCGTAATACATAGTTATAATTTTTTTCACTGTACAAAATCTTATATCCAATGACATTATTCATCATTTTCCATATATATATATATATATATTGGATGTACTTGTTAGAGAATAATATAAATAATTAAAAGTATATTTATCTAACACCTTAAGGTTTTAGGTTGAATTGGTTCTTTATATAATATCAAAATTTAAGTGACCATAAAATTATGAGTTCAATCATCACCTCCTTGTCATCCACTTTTAAGTGAAATTAAAATAAATACAAGGTAAAATAAAAAATACTGAGCTCGTGTAATATTCACATAAAAGCCTTTTATAAACCATTAAAAATACACTTACTCAACGTCTTAAAATTTTTGGATTGAATTGATTGTAAAAATTAAAAATTAAAGGGCCACTGCATGAGAGAAATGGGGCGGTGTCTCTGCTTTTAATTTATGGAAAGCATTTTTCTTTTTGTCCCTTCTGATTGAACTAGAAAATAATACAACTGCTGTATGAAGTGGTCCTTACTTTTGCCATGAGTTACGGCATGGATGATAACTCCTAGCGTGCTGCATTAGCTTTACAAAATATTGTTTCAATCTATATTCATTTTTTATTCATTCATTCTTTTTTCTAGTAATTTTTTAAGAATAAAAATCTAAAAAAAAAAAACTGAAAAATATGCACCCTATCTCATTTATTAAATAGATTAAGTCGGTTTGATCCTTTTAATTAAGGTTAGCTGAATTAGCCTCTTTTAAGGCTAGCTCGTATACTTAATATTCATTATTTGTTTTTATGTTGGATATACATATATTTTATATATTATCATATAGGTATAATTGTTTTTTGTTTTTTTTTTTATATTTCAATCTTTATTATTTTGCGACTGAAATGAACATAACATATGCTCTCACTTCAGCTGCTTTTAGCTTAATTATTTGTATATGTTGATGAAGACATAAAGATTAAACATCATCTTAAATATTAATTCCTTGATTGTTTTTGAAATATATCTCTGCTTCCACTGTTGCTACTTGGACTCTCTCTCTCTCTCTCATATTTATAAAGTAGTGATTGTTTTCTCTCTTCTTGATGCAAAGATACTCGGACTCTCTCTCATATTTGATATATTTGTTTTTTTTTATTTTTGGATAAACCACATGCATCCTTCACATAAGGTAATTTTATTCCGGACGAGTACAAGATTAAGATTTTAAAATTTAAACCCCTATCTGCTCAGCTTTTAAATGTCAATTGAACTATCTTGATTTGATGGTATAATTGCTTTTAATATCGATCGTATAATGCCCGACATCCACCTCATTGAAATAATTTATATACACCTGCATCTCACGGTTTATTACTATACCGTTATGGTTTCATCTCCTGTTCTAGGCTATAGATGACATTTCATTAAAAAATCTAAAGGGTAACTTTGTTACTTACATGCCATTTTAAAACATAGACACACATTTTTTTTTTCAATTTCTGTCTGAATAGAAAATGAATATTATGCCCCTTTAAACAAACCCTTTACAATATATATAATATTCTCTTTGATGCTCCTCCATCTTTTTATGTATGTTGTTGGGTTGAGTTTGGGTCCTCTTTGCCTCCTCCTTTGTGGCTCCTCCAAATTAGAGTTGCTTCCATATTATGAAACGGTGCTTCTTTGTTTTCATCCTTTTGATCTTTGGAGTATATGGCATTAAAAAAGCTAGTTTTTTTTTTTTCTTTTGGCATTTGATGTTCAACTTTTTCATGTTGGCTTGGACTAACTGTTTGGCTTGCCTTCCAATGGCAGGATTTGTAGCTTTTGGCTCAAGCAAGTTTAATTAGTCATATTATTGCGATAGAGAAAAGAGTTACCTTAGAACATTCTAACCTCAGTACCTCTTATTTGGCGCTTCGCAAGTTGTCTTCTTCTACATAAGCAATTGAATTTAGGTTCAGTCTTGCAAAAATCCTAATGTGAACAACCTGTCTCAATACAATATGATCAGTTTTATGTTGAAGTTGAGAGTCTTTGAATCTTGAAATGTACTATAAGAATACTCTTTTTAATTTGTTCTTCGAATTTTCATGTGTGATAGCAAGCTTTTGTACTTCACAATAATATCCTACACCCAACTACAAGTTAGATGTTAGTTCTTGTAGCACTCAAGAATTGGGGTTGAATTGAGCGATGAAACATTTTATTAAAGAGAAAACTTCAAAAATTTCCTGTAACTTTTTTCAGAATCACTTATCCCATTTTCAAAAAATTTAATCATTTATACACATATTTAAATTTTTTTTATCACTTACCTCATAACTTGATTTTCCATCCAAGTTAAAGTTAACGGAGTTAATATTTTAAAAAAATACCAAAACTATCCTGAATTTTTTTTTTTAACTCCTGCACTAACCTGCTAGCAAGAGATAACACACTGCATATAGACTTTGCTTTCTTCACTATGTTGGCGTTTGCAACTCGTTAACCATTTATATATAACACACTGCATATAGACTTTGCATCTCGATTTATGTGTTTGCAGTACATTTCATTTGAATTGTTGATTGGGGTCGGTTATTGTATTTTACACACACATATATATATAAACTATTTGCGAGTTCTGCGAGTTCTATACCATTTATATGTATATATATATATATATATATATATATATATATATATATATATATATAGAGGTAAGATCCTTTGACACTGATGTCAAATTTGAAGTTTGACACCTCATCTGAGAGCCGTTAGATCAAAAAAGATCAACTACTCTGATTTGTAAACATATGATACTATTGATCTTTTCTGATCTAACGACTCTCAGATGAGGTGTCAAACTTCAAATTTGACACCGGTGTCAAAGGATCCTACCTCATATATATATATATATATATATATATATATATATATATATATATATATATATAAATGGTATAGATCTCACATAACTCACAAATGGTTTATATAAGCTTATATCATTTTAGATCATAACCGTTGATTTCCGTCCATCAACGGTTATAATTTATTGGATCAAAATTATTAATTAATTAATAATAAATTTGGCCCATTAAGTTTGACCCAATAGATTATAACCGTTGATGCACGAAAATCAACGGTTAGGATCTAAAAGATATAAGTTTATATCGTTTAAAAGGATAGGTATTTTTCCCATATATAAATGGTATAGAACTCGCAGAACTCGCAAATGGTTTATATATATATATATATATATATATATATATATATATATATATATATATGTATGTATATATATATATATGGGATTTGATTTTCTCATATTGCATGAGAATTCAATTGTCATGTTGTGACTCAACTAGTAGTGGGTCCCATATTTATTAAAAAATGAAAAAGAAAAGAAAAGCTTTGCACGCAAATCGAAGGATCACCCACATGAGAATTGAATTCTAATACAACATGAGAAAATATTTTTTTTCTCTCTCTCTCTCTCTCTATATATATATATTTTACATTGATAGCATTTGAATACCATTGATTTCGTATCGGGCTTGTGATATGAATTTGCGTTTTATTCTTTGTTATATAGAGAGAATACAAATCACTCAAATACAACCGAATAGAATGGAGATTTACCAGTCTAAATCTTTGAGTGTTGTGTGTTTCTTTCAGAACTCGAATTATATAAGCATCTACCGACTAATCAGAAGCAGGGGCAATGGAGCGTCAGAACGATTAGGGTTCTACTCCTCAATGACTATCTCTTGCCCGCAGTAAGGTCCAGTGTTGTGTGTTACTTTTCTTCAAGGGTAGTTTTGATATTTTTTAAAAAGACTAACTCCGTTAACTTTAACTTGGATGGAAAATCAAGTTAGAGGGGTAAGAGATAAAAAAAATTAAATAGAGGTGTAAATGATTAAAATTTTTGGGAAGGGGGTAAGTGATTCTGAAGAAACTTACATGGAGTTTTTGAAGTTTTACCTTTATTAAATAAATTTTTTAGATTTTTTGTGCTACAATAAAAGTGCAAAAATAAAGAACACACCAAATTTTAACAGGAAAAAAATCCTGAACTAATAAAAAAGAGAATTAATAAAAAAGAGAATAGATAGAGTATAATAATAATAATACCACCACTAATAATAATAAGGGGTTATTGTATTAATATCGCTAACTAGTGCGATTTTCAAGAATTAATATATTATTTTAGTATTAACTTATTAAAATAAAAAATAATTTTTTAAAATATTAATTTTAAAATATTGTAGATTTTAATTTTTATAAAAAGTAATATATTTTTTGAACACATTAATCAATAGATTTTAATAAAAATTAATATCATAATTATATAAATTCTTTATTAAAGAGTATTTTTGTTTAAAAATAAATTTTTTTTATCCTATCTAGTATTATATAGTGCATTACCAAATATTAGATTATATTATCTTATATAATATATTATTTTATACAATATCCTGTCAAATACTATATAGTATTAAAATCTAATCAATCTTATATTATCATATCTTATCTTATACTAAGCACCGACCTTATATACTATCCTATCATTATGAGTAGTTAATAATATTATATTCACAATACATGCAATTTGTTTTTTTGGAAAAGAAAAAAAAAAAACAAAAGAATCTCACGCGCGTGTGTTGCGGTACATGCAATATTCTAATAAGAATGTCACGTGTATTGCGATACAACATTATTAACTATTTATAATTTCGTAAAATAAATAATTGAATTACTTATTCGATAAAAAAATAAATTTATAAATTATATTAAAATTCATAAAAAAAATTATTTATTTATCAGTGTAGCAAAACCGCATCCAATAAAAGACTAACACAATCACATTAAAAAATAAAATTCGGGGAAAACAAATTTAAAATCGAATTTCATCTTAACGAATTGATCGTTAAAATATCTTTTGAATTAATTAAGGGTTTGTTTTTTCTGATGTTACTTTAGATAAATTTATCTAATGTTCATCAAAATGACGTCGTTTTGAGACGGAAATTATGATATTTTTGTAATTTTAATTTATTTCAGGATTATAATAGTCTTTATCACTTTAATTTTTTAATTTTTCAACACCAAAACGGCGTCGTTTTGATGAATATTAGATAAAATTATCTAAAGTAAAATCGGAAACTTTTTTCCCATTAATTAATCACTTTTTTAATTGTTATAAAATATTTTCTAGTGCAATCACAATAAATGGCTCTTAAATTGTAGTCCCTCATTAATAACCGTAGTCATGCTATTTGGATTATAATATGATCTTGTTCTATAAATTCAGCATACTGTGAAACAGTCCCACTATCGTTACAAGTGGCAAATTAAGGCATTCTATATCCTTTATTTATTTATTTATTTCAATCAAGGAGTTAGGGGCTATGGATTATGGAGATTACTTCGTTGAATCTGAAGATAATTTTTTTCACTCTGACCAGGAGGTACAATCAAGTTGTGGTAAGCATACTGATCACGAGCAAAAGTCCCGTCATATAAATGGGTTTTCTTTCTTATTATTAATTCACAAAACATATATTATGATACACTACAAAAAAAAAGTTTATTTGTGACGAAAAAATTTTCTCATAAATTTTGTCACAAATGATAATTTTTGACACAAATAATCAAATTTAATCATAAATAAAATTGCGACACAGAAATTCGTGATGAAATTTACTTGCGACGTAAGAATTTGTGACGAAATTTCATAAATACTACGATGACATCTAATATGAGGTGTGAGAGGACGTACAACATGAAATTGAAGGCTAGTCAGTTACTGTATATACATTCCTCATTTTCATTATTTGGGTTTTTTTTTAGGTTCAAACACCTTGCATGAAGAGCTTTTTCCTAGTGATATGATATGGGAAATCATGGTTCTTCCCCCACAAGCAGAAATATCCGAGGATTTCGAGGAGGCGATTCAAAAGTGTGTGTCTGAGTTCATAAGTGTCGTCATTGACAAGCTCAAACGCAAAAAGCGTAAGATTTCAGTGAAAAGAATCCTAGTAGTGATTGAAAAGTTAGGCTTAAAAGAAAATGTTGAGTATCTCATTCAATTCAACGATAGGTTCCTCCTGTATGAGGCTGATTGCTATATCAATGCTAAGCCCCATGCCACTGAAACTGATGAATACTAATTGGCATTAGGCCCATGATTGGATTCAAGGCCCAGAAGAATAACCAAGCAGCCCCATTATCCGAGGAACTACCAGACAACATAGCCACTAGGGTTTCTATTTCTTAAGTATTATTTTTTTCTATTTTCTACTAGCTGTTATGAATTTGTTGTAAGAAAGTGGTATTTGTATTCAAAATAGAATACTGTTATTTATATTATATAAGTTTTTTAATATTAAAATATAATTAAACTAAGGGAAAAATGTATGTCATTTTAAAGGATGTAAAGTTGTGTCATTTTAAGAGAGAGAAAGAGATAGATAAAGGAGAAGAGAGAGAGAGTTGAAAAAAATAAATAAAGGTGTGAGTCCCACCTCTTTGTGAGAGTGAAATGACGTAAGTTGTGTCATTTAAGAAGATAAATAATTTTCCCTTAAACTAAAAGACAATCGTTGACCTATATGGCCCGCGTTCACATGGAAAATTTTGAAATAAAACATAAAAGATAAACTATAGAGAAATCATATTTTTATGTTGAATAAGATGAATCTCTCATGTCACTCTCCCTTCGAAAAATATGCCTTTTTTTTCTTCTAAAAGTTGGTGAAATTCACTTTATTTGTCTCTTAACATGATAAATTTCTCTCATACTACATGAGAGAAGTAATCCCCTAAACTATAATAGTGAATGGAATTCATATACAAATAGAAAATAAATAAAAAATGTATAAATTAATAAATAAAAAGCTTCCAGTATAGGATGATTTTTGTTTTCTCCAGCCACGAAAGTCAATATAAGCAACTTCAACATCAAAATAACCTGAACAATTAAAAAAATAATGATTTACACTTTTTTTTTAAGGGAAATATGTCTTTCATGCAGTAGGAGATAGAATATTTTTCCTACACATACCGAAATGCGTATCTTCTCTTTTCTTTTTTTCTTTTCTATTTATTGTGGTGGGACCCACAATGCCTTTGAGTCTACCACATGAGAGAAGACACCTCCTACTACATAAGAAAATACAAACCCTTTTTTTAAACATACCCTAAAAAATTACACTTTCTTTTATCCTAAATAATAGATAGCTTTATGATAATAACAACAACAGTCCTTTCATTTATCTTAAAACATTGAGAAAAGTTTTGGTAATCATGATCATCAAAATTCAATGACCCACTTTGTAGTTTTACAAAAAAAAATTCATTTTACTCCTTTTTTTTATTTTTTATTTTTATTTATATATGTCTTATAAAATACAAAGGAGGATTACTGAATTTTGATGGTCCTAATCCGTCAAAACTTTCCTCCTTATTCAAATAATGAATACAATCACATAACTACACTATAAAGTATAAAGTCCAAAAATGAAAGCGTTTTGGGGCAGTTATTATTATTATTATGTTTATTATTATTATTATTTTTCCATACTTCAGGAGAAAGAAACCACAAGTCACTATTAAAGAGATCAATTTTTTTAGACGTGGACCTTTGAAAAGTGGAGGAATGAAAGGAGTTCTGACAATCCAAATCAGATTTATGATTATCAATACAAGATTCAGTGAGTGATAATCAAGGTGAGAGATATACAAGATGTTTTTCATAAGCTTAATTTAGCTCAAAATAACTTGTCCCATTCGGATACTTTGATTTGTTGGAAGGCTCCTGGAAGCAATTGGGTAAAGATTAATACGGATGGAGCGGTTAAGGGTAATCAAAGATTAGCAACTTGTGGTGGTGGTGGTGTTATTAGAAATGATGCTGGTCAATGGTTAAAAAGATTTGCTTATAGAATTGGTAGTTGTGATGCTCTTACCGCAGAATTCTGGGGTATTTTAAAGAGTCTGCAACTAGCTTGGGAAGATGGATGGAGAAATGTTATTGTAGAAAGTGACTCTAAATCAGCTATTGCTCTGCTCACTAGTGATGGTGATGCAGTCCGCGAGAATCATCTGATTTCTCGATTACGGACATGGATTCAAAAGGATTGGAGAGTTCATCTGGTTCATACTTTCAGAGAAGGAAACTGTTGTGCGGATTGGCTGACAAATTTTTCTTTTATGAATGTTAATTCTGATGATTTTTTTGTTTTTAATTTCTCCCTTGGAATTGGTCTGCTGTTTGATGCAGATTTAGCTTCTATTTGTAGAACTCGTCGTATTTCAGTTATTTAATTTGTGCTGTGGTGTGTTTTACCCAGTTTACCAAAAAAAAGAAAGATATACATTATAGAGATGTTAATGGGCTGAGCCGAGCCGAGCTTTAGTCTTAAAAAACTAAGCCTGTGTTTAAATGTGTTAGCTTGACCAAGCCTGTTACCTGTTATGAATATAATTATCGGCATGTGGCCTGACTTATTTACAAAAAATAAAAAGTATGATTTAGCCTGTTTAAAAAAAATAAGACAATAAAAATTTATCCAAATAGAATATATAATCAACATGACTAGTAATTCTATAAATATTCATAAATTCAATTTATATCCAAATAACATAATATAGAACAAAATCATTCAAAAATTCTGTTTAGCCAATAAAATGGGGTGAAATGGATTGATGATAGAGAGAGGACTATTATAAATAGTATAAAAAATTAAAATTAAAATTAATATATTAGTCCAGCCTGAGAGGCTATAAGGCCGAGCTTTTGAAAATGAGTCTGAGACCTTTTTATTAAACGAGCTTTTATACAAGTCCAAGTCTGGTTCCAACAACCAATTTTAAGCATGTAGGCTCATGCCTTTACGAGCCGAGCCAAAGATCCCTGGTTCGTTTATCACCCCTAATTACGGGATTAAGGTTTTTTTATGAGAGAATTTTATTTTCTATACTCACGTAAAAATGTGGGGTGCCTGTTTTGAGTGAACACCAACTATAGTATTAGTAGGGGTGTTCATCAATCGATTCAAACCGCGGTGATTGAACTGAAAAATTGAAAATCGAATAAATCGAAAATTGAAAAATCAAAAACAAAAAAAGGGCAAATTTTAATTGGATTGGATCGATTTTCGGTTTGGTTGGTGAAAATCGATCAAATTCAAATCAATCCAATATATTAATTTTCCTTTACCTATTTAGGCTTTTCCCCAATCATAGCCAAAAAAAAAAAATTAAACCAAAGACTCATTAACCCATCAACTAAACCTAAGAAAAAATCTAGCTACATCTCATAAGAAAAATTTCATCTGTGTAAAACTTCATCTTTCATTGTCCAAAAAAAAATTAGATTATCGTTTACTGATATTTCTGTATTTAAAAAAAAATCCTTTACAAAGTCGATTCAATACATACAAAAAATATATTATTTGCATAATAATAATCAAACAAATTTAAGGCTTTTAAAAAAATTGAACACCAATCAAATACAAACCGAAAAAAATTGGATTGGATCTGATTTGAAAAAAATTCAATTCAAATAAATGAATGATTACATGATCAAACTAGAGGAGTGGTATATAGTCAAGGTGTATGGACTGATGAATGTTATAGGCTAGGCATGAATAGTTGAAAGCAATATATATGAAGTATCTGTCATTTAGTATTGTTCCTGTATTTATATGGCCTTTAGATATGGCAGTTACAGTGATTGTGGTCTTAGTGCGCAGTAAAGGGTGATCGTGGGTATTGCAGAGCATGAAAGAATTTAGGTTTGAACTCACGATCCTTGCTCATTGACTGTGATTCAAGCCAAATGTATGGATCGAGGTGACGGAGCTAGACCCAGATGAGGGAGCCTTCGATCTCCAAATGGGCCTAGCCCCTGAGCATGAAATCGATGGGCCTAAATCAGATATAAACCCGGAAATGGTCCATATTTTCTTTTTATCTTTTCTCTTCGTATGATCCAACATGAGTCTTACACACTTTTATGTGTGTATAAGAGATAATTTTATATCCTATAATACGAGAAACATCAAACCTATACATTATTAATCAAAACACTTTTACCATGTTTAAAACTTTTGAAATATGCCAAATGGTGGTGGTTCAGTTGATAGCAAAGGAGCTCTGATTAAGTGAAAAGGAAAGAGTATCAGTTCGATTCTCACATGACATTTTTGGAAAATGTTTAAATATTTTTATCCATGACTCGCCCATCACTTTGGATTAGGAGCACTCCGGATTATTCTCATAATCAGCTCAAAGAATCGAAGCTTATGAGAATAATGTTGAGAGTCAACTCACCTCAAAAAAGTAATTAATGTAGAGTTAATTAAAAAAAAACTTTTAAAAAATATTTAATATTTTATTTTGCATAATTAAAACAATTCATTGATAAAAAATAAGGGGAAATATTTCTGCTTTAAATATATAGAATATTGTCTGTGCCACATAAACAAAATCATAGAGAGCAAAAATATATTTGGTTGAGAGAAAAATATAATGGGATTCACTATTTTATCTTTGTGGTAGATAATTTTCCATGCCTTTGAATCAGAAATGATTTTTCCAAAAATATAACATATTTCTATTTCTTAACAGGTAAGGATAAACAAATCTTATCAAACCCATGAAAGAAAAAAATAAAATAAAATAAAGGGGAAGAATATCATAGAAGGAAAGTCCAATCTGAAAGTAAACAGAGAAAAGAGAAGCAAGCACACACACTGACACACTGACAAAGTGATAATGACACCAAACCCCCCATTTCTCAATCGCAAATCGTACTTTCCTCATTTTTTTCTTCGCATATACCAATCGCTTCTGATTCCAATTTCATTCTATTTGAATCTGCATTAACTACCGAAGGGACTGAGAAATTGAGATTGTTCTGTGTCTTGTTTTCCACGGGTTTAGCATTTTCTCCATTTAATTTACTTTATTATCAGTTATTATTATTTTGGGCTAAATTATTAAATTGAGCTTCTCATGTCGATTGTTAATTTTGACTGATTGGGTGCTTCCCTTCTGATACACTCTTTTGCTTTTCCGTTTCGAAATTTGTCCTTCCGAATCGTAGATTGTGAGCAAAACCACTGATCAGATACATACTATTATTTGGTATGGTGCAGTCTAAAGTTTTTTTTTTTTTTTTATTGTTTTGCTTTAGCTTAATCTTGTTAATGATATCACTTTGGGTTTGGTTTTGCTGAAGATTTGAATTGAAATTGAGGACTTGGTTGAAGAGGAAGAGAGAAATGGCTAACAATGCAGCAGCATGTGCTGAGAGGGCAACTAGTGATATGCTGATTGGTCCTGATTGGGCAATTAACATAGAGTTGTGCGATGTCATTAACATGGACCCCAAGTATCTTTCTTCTACTACCTTATTCCTGTTACTTGTTGATCTACTCTATTGGTTTGAGGATATGCTTTATGAATATTGCTTTTTCAATCAAGAATTGACCCGGAAACTAGTTGCCTGATGTTGATGTAGCATGGGATTATGTTTTAGTAAGTTCATCATTGGCAATTTAGCAACTCAAGGAAGTAAAATTTTGATGTTATTATTTCAAAAAAATAAACACTTTGGCTGTACTTCTTTCACCCTGCTTATACTGTGGTGGGATTTGGGGTTTTGAAGAGGTGGGGGGAGGGGGATAAGATTTTTCTTACTGGATAGTGTTCTTTGTTGTTTGGATAGTTTGAATAAAGCCACCTTTACTCTGCATCTATAGCTCATGTACTCGCTTCATTGTATATTGTTTCTTATATTTTATCTTTGCTAAGGCTATATTAACATCTTGGATCTTGCTAATGTAACTGATCTATATACCCCTTAAGATTTTTTAATTCTCGGAGAATTGGTAAATTTGTGACATAAAAGTTCTTATCAAATAGCAGAGAATGGTCGACTATCATGATTCTGAAAATTTGTAGTATTGCAGAGGCTTAGTTACACTTTTGTTCTCCTTAATTTCACCAATATTTGATCCTATTTTATTTTCAGTTGCAGTTTTTGAATTGATGCATTTAACTCCCCTTGTCAGTCTACTGTTGACGTGGAACTCATTTTCTGACAATTTTGTGTCAATGAGTGCCAAAAAGTGTGTCAATTGAGTACATATAGAGCCACATCAACTATAGATGAGGGATTTAATTGCATCGATTTTGAAAACTATCGGGGTAACATTGATGGAATTGGAAATAGGGAAATAAAAGCAAACTTTGATGAAATAGGAGGACCAAAAATGAGATTAAGCCTATTTTGAATTTTGTCTTGATTCTTAGTTTTGGATTTCAAGCATAAAATTGCTTCAAGCCTTATTTCAATTTCTTTTTTCTCATAGGAATTTCTTGAATTGCAATTTTCCTGATCCGCTTTGTTGAACTAAATAAATTTTCAGGCAAGCAAAGGATGCATTGAAGATACTCAAGAAGCGTTTGAGCAGTAAAAATCCCAAAATACAACTTCTGGCTCTTTTTGTCAGTATTCTTTTTCTTTTACTTATGGATAATTATTAAATGTTTCATGCACTTGGATATAAGGAATTAAAATGTGTTATTTCTGCAAAAATTTAAAGTAAATTATGTAAAAGTCTTCTGACCTGTTATTCTGCTCTGCTTGCAAGATATTAGCTGTAAAGTACTTCTAATAGTTCATTTTCATTTATTTGTTCAGGTGGTTACAAAAAGCAGTGATTACCTGACATGGATCTATTTTTTTGGAATATTTGATGTAGGCAGTGGAGACCGTTAGTAAAAATTGTGGTGAAAGTGTATTTCAGCAGATCATTGAGCGGGATATCTTACATGAAATGGTTAAGATAGTGAAGAAGAAGGTATTTATGGACTTGCATGAAATGGTCTTTTATAGGGTTTTTTAGGGAGCTTACATGGGGTACTTATAGAGATATCATACCAACAACAGACCCTAACAGGTTTAGAACTCCAGCTGTTAGTAGTTGTGCCAATTGTTGTTTGCACGATTTTTGTTAAAGTTTTCTTTTGTCATTTCTGCAACTGTATGTTGGAAGTGAAAAACTTGCTTACCAAGTGTTGCGTTCTTTTAATCCTATTGTACAGCCGGACTTAAATGTGAGGGAAAAGATACTGATTTTGATTGATACTTGGCAAGAAGCTTTGGGGGGACCAGGTGGAAGGTATCCCCAATACCATGCAGCGTATAATGAATTGAAGGTGATTGCTCTTGTGAATTCAGATATTACTTTCTTAACCTTAATCTATGTACTTCATGCAGGAATTCTACTGTAAAGTGATATGCATGGACATTTCTAATTTTCTATTAATGTGCCTTTGTACTATGATAAACGATAATGTCATTTAGAGTCATGTTTTGTGCCTGTCTGCAACCTATTTTAGTAATTGTTGCTTTAGTCCAGGAAAAAATAATCATGAATTTTATTAAGATGTGTCATAATAAAATTGTTCCTTCATGGCGAACCGGAGCAGTGGTAAAACTGTTCCTTCATGACTGAAAGGTCATGGGTTCGAATCCAAGAAACAGTCTCTTTGCAATTATGCAAGGGTAAGGCTGCGTACAAGGATTTCTTCCACCCCACACTCGCTAGTCGGGTTTAACGGGGAGTGGTTTGGTTTGTTTGTGTCATAGCTTATTATCAGATGTTTTCCCCCAATATTTTTAGTAAGTTGTTGTATTGTTTGACTTGGACTAGCTTCACAAAATTTGGTACTTGTATGCTCTTGACTTTTTGTTTAACAACTCCATACATGTGCCAATATGCATGCACGCACACACAATACACATATTATATCCTTAAGTTGCTGCTATTTTTGGCTTGGAGCTAAAACATTGATATTGTTGCTTTAACATTGATATTTTTACCTGTCTGCAACCTATTTTAATAATTGTTTCTTTAATCCAGGACAAAATAATCATGAATTTTATTAAGATGTGTCATAGTTTATTATAAGATGTTTTTCCCCAATATTTTTAGTAAGTTGTTGTATTGTTTGACTTGGACTAGCTTCACAAAATTTGGTACTTGTATGCTCTTGACTTTTTGGTTAACAAATCCATACATGTGCCGATATGCATGCACACACACAAAACACAGATTATATCATTAAGTTGCTGTTATTTTTGGCTGGGATCTAAAACATTGATATTATATTTCTGTAATGTATTATTTTAATAATTGGCAGTCTGCTGGAGTTGAATTTCCACCACGAGAAGAGAGTAGTGTTCCTTTCTTCACCCCTCCTGAAACCCAGCCAGTTGTTCATCTTGCTGATGCAGAATATGATGATGCTGCTATTCAGGCTTCTCTTCAGTCTGATGCATCTGACCTTAGGTGCTTTTTGAAACTGCATCATGTTCTTACTGTTGTAATCCTTTGTTTGTTTTCTGTGGCTATAGTGCAATTAGTTCTAGACATTTCATTTATATACGAAATTAACAGAGTAGTTTCTCCATCTTATAAACTCAAGTATAGATAAAGCTGTTAGAATATCTATAAAACATCTCATAACTTCATTATTTTATCTTATAATATCTTAAGAGTATTTTATATATCTTGTAGAAGTGGTTTCCGTATTTCATTATATTTCATGATTTGCTTCCATATTTCTTAGGATTATGATTGGTTCCCACCCATCATGAGGGTGTACCCTCGGAAGGGCCATAGGGGATTTTGCTTCCATATTTCATTAGGATTATGATGGGTTCCCACCCATCATGAGGGTGTACCCTTAGAAGGGCAGTGGGGATTGGGCCCTTCATATGCTAGAGACGCGTGACACTCTGAAAGGAACCAACAGTACAATTGAAGAAACAACTCAAAGAGACAGTATATTAATACGAACTAGGTACAGTGTTCAGTAAGAAGATTACAATAACAGAGACAATACAACTCTATCAGCAATTACAGTAATAGTAATGGAAAGATACAATAACAGTAATGAAAAGAGAGACAGTAAAGATTGGTTCTAGAGCAATTCGAGAGACTCTCTAGTCTCTCCCAATTCATCCAAGAGGTGCCCGAAAGTCCCAAGTCCAAGTAATATCCAAGATGATTCTCCTGCTCCCATCCCTCCACTACTTATTTAGCTTTTCCCTCCACTTCCCCCTAACCGTTTTCTGTTTTAGTCACACTAACAACTCATTTGCTGACTCATCCAAATTGCTTCCCCTAAATACCCTTAAGGAAAGGGGTGGTATCGTATCACACTCCCGTTTGGTGGGAGAATATGTTACTAACAGCTTGGGGTAAGGAGAGAGATAAGAGGGGAGGTTAAGGGTAGCATGTTTGTTTGGACAGACTTGGGAGAGTACGGAGCCTCTTGAACAGTCTAGGTTACATTTTCTTCTTCATGATACACTGTAACTCTGTTTAACACTGATATCTTATCAATATCAACCGTAGTAATACAATATGCATGTTTTCTTCTATTTCTTCTCAAGTTCTTTTCGAGTCCTATTAGATTATGAATCTGGTATTAGTATAAATGGGGATTATTACTTTTTGTTTTGTATCACATCATATTGTTTAATATCAACAACAACATGAGCACCTTTATCCCAAACTTGTTGGGATATCACATCATTATACATTAGAGAATATTATTCAGTGTCTTTATTGTCACTTTTCCTCTTTGCCTTCCTATATCAGTATAATTTCAACACTTAAATCTACATATACTTGGCTTGTTCCTAACAGTAAATTCTATATGCTATTTTTTTTCTTTTTAATTCAGTTTACTTGTAGTTTTATGTTACTTGGATGTATGTTTAAGGTCATTTAACAGTGGTAAGAAATCTATCCAATACTACTGGAATGAAGTTGGAGCCCCAGGGGAAAAAGAATGAAGTAATGGAAAATAAGAGAATATCGAGTAACTTTGAAAAATTTGATTTTTCAGCTACCCTACATGACATGGCTAATGATTTCAGTGCAAGGCCAACAGTTTTGTTGTGAGGGAGTCTGTCTATACTGTTTCCTGGTGAAAGTTTAGATTTTATCCTGATGTCCTATTGGGTTGGGCCTTTCCATCATCTGTTTTTATCATGTGAATGTCACTTCCCCTGACACCTTTTCTTGTAATTTTCTCTTGTATAATTCTATTCTAATGAATAGATTGTTTTCATTGAGTTGTCACAGGTGACTTATTGCTTAAATGTTTACCTTTCTATCTGCTGTTAACACACAAAAGTCAATCATGTCTTTAGAATTCCATCCGACCTTGTCTACAGTATGCCAAATTCTTTGCTTGCTTGGTTTTAAAATTAATCAGAAAGAATGGAATTTCTCATAATTTTCTATAGGCCTACTCCAGTCTTATTTGAATGATTATGGTGAATGTGTCATGGCCTCCATATTTTGAGATTCTTTCCCGGTTAACTTCTTTCTAATGTCAGAATTATACACTGGGAGCAAAGTTTTATTATAATCAATGTACACTAGGATCTAACCACATGAATGTTCACCATCTTTAGGCATATTGGTGTTTAATTTGTGTGCATTGATGGTTTATTTCGGGGGCCTTCTCTTACGGATTTACAAGGGGATTGTGGAGCTCTTTCTGGATAATCTTTGCTTCTTTTGTTGGATATTTTGTTAATTCTGGCTGTTCTAGGAGCATTTCTTTTCCTCCTTCTATTTGTACTTCTCTTCTTTCTCTTAATGAATTCTTCTATTATGAAATAAGGTTTTGGTTGGTTTGTGCTTTATCCCTGTAACTAAATTTGCTTATAATCAGTTTGCTAGAGATTCAGAATGCTCAGGGACTAGCAGATGTTTTGACTGAAATGCTTAATGCCTTGGATCCTAAAAATCCTGAGGTGATGTTATTTTTCATTTGTTTTCCTTTGTCTACTACCTGATACCTTCACTCTTGATGATTGTTTATGAAATTTTGTTTGAACTTTGAAGTTGCAACATTCAGTATTTGATAGAAACTAGATCAAATCTCAAAGTAAAGAGGTCTGTATAATGTATATCACTGCGGTTATTGAGATCGGTCTCATATCAATCAGTAATCTGCAACTGCAGAACCTAGATATATTTCGAACTTATTCATGCTACAACATTGACTCTTTCCATCACAAAGAAGTCATTGCAAGTCGTCAATATTAATATTTCCAAATATTCTGGTCAAAATGTGAAGGGTGTGAAGCAGGAAGTGATTGTTGACCTTGTTGATCAGTGCGGTTCTTACCAAAAGCGTGTTATGCTTCTTGTGAATGATACTACGTAAGAATATTTTAAGATGATCAAGTCTGCTTTTTTGTTTTTCCTTCTGTGTGTAATAAGAATAGCTATAATGGTTGCTTTACTTTCAGGGATGAGCAGCTTTTAGGTCAGGGATTGGCACTGAATGACAGTCTTCAGCGAGTACTATGTCGACATGATGATATTGTAAAAGGAACTCCTGATACAGGCACAATAGGAACAGAAACATCAGTTCTGCCTCTTGCAAATGTAAATCATGAGGATGATGAATCAGAAGATGATTTTGCCCAACTAGCTCATAGGTGACCTGCTAAATTTCTGCCCTATATTTAACCCTGTTTCTAGTTACTTTCCCTTTCTTAGTGAATTCACAATTATATGGGGGCATAAAAAGGTTACCTGTCAAAGGCTGACAGTTTCATATGATACAATGTTGTTAATATTATATCCCTTTCTGTTCTCATTTTCTCTTTCTCTTTATTTTATTATCATAATTATTTGTTTATATACCATGATTGCAGGTCATCACGAGATACTCATGCACAGAACCGTAAACCAGCCAACGACAACTCAGAACCAGCGCGAGTAAACCCAATTCTTCCCCCACCACCAGCACCGAGGAAACCAGTCTTCTCTGACTCTGGTATGATTGACTACCTCAGTGGTGATGCATACAAAACACAAGAATCCCATGATAACTCTGAACCAACTTCATATGTTGTGCCCCTTCATTCTAGCCCTACTCCTGCCTCAACAACCCCTGAAACAGTGTCTTCCTCATCCCCTCCTCATGCCATGAGTACCTCATCACCAATTTTTAGCAGACAGCCTGTATATGATGAACCATCTCCCATCAACAAATCTTCAGAAAGCCTTCCTTCAGTTCCTTGGGACACACAATCTCCAGGCATCCTTCCGCCCCCACCTTCAAGGTATAATCAGAGGCAGCAGTTTTTTGAGCAACAAGTTGTGTCTCATTCAAGTAGTGGGTCCAGTTCATCGAATGACAGCTTGTTGGGTCACACTCAGAATCTCTCTCTGAATTCATCTACTCAAACCAAACAAGAGAAGCCAGAAGATGCCCTTTTCAAAGATCTAGTTGACTTTGCAAAATCCAAAACCTCATCATCTTCCAAACCTAGTGGGCCATCTTGAGAGATTGTTTTTGTATTACTTATGGAGGTGAAGCTTATGAATGTTGTTCGTCAGGTTTTGTTTCAGATCACTCAGATGACCATTTTATGGTGGTCTTTAGTAACTTTTGAGGATGATTTGTCCATGTGTGTGCCTGGTTTAACCAATACGTTGCTGCATATATTGCATATATTTATGTATATTGCTCATATTGATTGTTAGCTCGTGTTTTTAATAACATCCGATTCTTAAAAGCATCAAAATTTCTTCGATCTCTCTATTTGTTAAAGATTCCCGTGGTTACTCCATGAAAAATTTGAACTTGAAAAGGCTGGGATACGTTCACTTCTCCAAACTGGGTTGAAGAGTTCTTGTGTAGCTCCACGGTCCAGTTTCCCAGTCTTTTTACTCATCATAATCAACAAATTTGAATGAATGTTTATGGACGCAAGAGTATTAAGCACCGTAAGTGGAGGATACTGCATAGTAGTTAAGCTATAGCCTCGTCAAGGCCAGAATTATGCTCAAGAGTTTGCTTCCTTACCCAGAATATTGAGTATGCCCAGAAGTATCCTTGAGCATCACTGAAGAATCCACCAGATCATGCGGAACATGGATTACGCTTGGGTCCTAGAACCACCAGTGTGCGAGTGCAAAGCAACCTTTGGACCAGATGACTATAATCATTCAAGGGGCAACATAATTTTTTTTTCAAAAAAAAAAAAAATATCACAAAAAAAGGAACACACAGGTAACAAACTTGTATGCTGCAACACCAGAAGAGGCGTGGGGGGTCTCTTGGACAGGTTGCACATATGCTGAAAGTGATCGCAAGTGGATATAATGCAATATTACATAACATTTGACAACAATTTTCCAATTCTTTCTTGACAAGAGGGTCATTGGATGTTGGAATCGATACAATTACAGACACACATGATCGCGAATCAAAAAGAGAGAAAGGGAAGAAATATGAGACAACGATTTATCCTGATTTATCCAATGTGAACTAAGTCCAGCAATATATATTATATTTTTTTCACCGCACTCGTTACAAGTCACTCAGTTTATAAGGGAGATATAAATAGGATTAGAAACCTTAAGTAATAATAAGTATTTATGAACCCAAGCCCAAACTACTAAGAAAACAGAAAAATAAAATAAGCCATTGACTTTCTTTGTATCCAACCAACAAAAGTCGTCATCTATATGTGAAGTATGAGTTATACTCAACATTGAAAACTTCAAGGCTTTCTAGTGTTCTTACTCTAGCTATAGCTAATTTTTCATGTTGACTCTAGTTCTTAGCTACAATGCAATACATGTTCTTGTTGCATATGTTCGGATGACTGGATTTGGCTTAATTTTTTTTTTTTTTTATTGTTGCCTTCTGCTGTAACATTGAGTTTAATAATGCCTTGAGGATGAGCTGTGTTCCAAGCGAGATGAAAATGATGGAAATTATAATATCCCTAATCTGTTTAATTATAAAATTGCATGTGATTAAATAAATAATCATGCATTATGGAGTTTAACTAAGTAAAATGCTTAATTAAACAAATTTAAGTCATTATGGGATAAAAAGTGCAGTCAGTGAGATTTATGGAGTAAAAATATGTGTAGGCAAATTTACCTAAAAGGTAAAAGTATAGCTAGAAATATGACTCGAAAAATATTCTAGTTCATTGGGTAAAGTTTGGTAGTGAATGGAGGTGAGTAGATAGATGAACTTTTATGTAATTAAAATAGCCTATCATATGTTAAGTGAAGAAACAAAGAAAAGAACCTCATTTTCTTCTTCTTCTTCTTCTTCGTGAGAGAGGAGAGGAGAAGCCATTGTTGAGCCCTAAACCACAACCCCTCCATTTCTTGCTCAAATCCTTCCATTCCAAAGCCTAAACCACTTTAAATTTTCCCTCATCCTTAATCCTAACTTAGTTTTGAGTGGGAACCATGGTAGAGTGAGATACCTCCCTTTGAAAGTGGCGACCATTTGGCTTGGAGGAACTTGGAGTGGCTCATTTCAAGAAGTGAGGCTTGCAATCTCTTCCTTGCTTGATTCTAGGTTAGTTTCCACAAAAATATAGGCTTTTCCATGGTTTTATGAGATTGGATGTATTAGGGTTTGATTTAGGAAAAATGCATGAATAGTGGGGTATGTTAGAGGGTGATTAAAGTTAAATCCCTTTACAAATTTTGTTAGGAATGATGAATGAACGGTAGAAATGAATTTAGATTGTCATTTAAGTTATGTTCAATATCTTGGAAAAATCCATGCTTGAAATGTTGAGTTGCTTGCATTGTTGAGCCATTGGGTGGTTGATGTTTGATTTGTGTTCATTTTGGTGCTAGGATTGAGCTAAGTGGACCAATTGTGAGTGACCAACAATTGGAGGAAGCAATGGAGCTTGATTAGCTCATTGAGATTGGTAAGTTCATGCCTATGGTGATGTGAATATGTTTGTTTGATTGATAAGGATATTGATATTCATTGGATTGCATTAGTTTCCTAACACCTTAATATCGGTGTGTATATTGTAAGAGTGTAGATTGAATACAAAGCTTGGTTGATTGCGCATTGAGGTAAGCCTTCAAACCTTGTGAATTGATCCCTTACTTGTTTCACAAAGCCCTAAATGGGTAATGGTTGTTGATAGTGTATGTAAATGCAATAAAGTAGTTTAATGCTTTGTTATACATATGTGTATGCACTGGGTGTGGCATAGGATGATGTTTTCCTATGTTTTGTATGTTGTACGACGATGCGTAATTCATACTAAGTAGATTCTCTGATCAGTGGGACTATTTGCATCTAAGTATCCTTAGGACGACATGAGAGCTCGAGGAATGTCTCCTGGAGATATTTTACACACTGTATATATATGCATTTATTGCATTATTTACTGTTATTGCTATTATACTGTGAATGAACTATGAGGTGGAGAGATGTTCCAAGGACCCTTGATTTACTGAGATGTATTCGTATATCTCACACCATGTTGTGAGGACCCTCTTTCAGGTACAAATGTTGCAGGAGCCTCTGCTAGAAAGTGGCCATACTTAAGTTAGAGGGATGCATGATGATGCTACATTCTTTTGGTTTTGCATGCCATTTGGATAGTTTACCATGTATAGGACATGTTGGATGCATCTTTGATAAATGTGTTCACGAGAGACTTAGGAGATGATCATTGACATTTTGTATAGCCCTTGTATATATAGATAGGGACTTTGATGATATGTTATTCTAAGTTCTTTGGCATTATGTTTTGTCATTTTGATTTGTACAAGGAATTATGTAAAAAATGTAAATATTTGAAGCATTATATGATATAAGATTGTCAATCAGGTCATATGGTGTGTGGGAGTTAATTCCCCAAAGGAAAATAGATGAAAATAGGGGGAAATTCCCTATTGGAGGGCGTTCAAATGCGCCAGAGCGTTCAAACGCGCTAAAATGTCATTTTCTTCTGTCGGTGGGCGTTCAAATGTGTCCCAGGGCATTCAAATGTGCCCCAGGATGTTCAAACGAGCTAAGACGTCATTTTCGCCTATCATTGGGCGTTCAAACACGCTAGTGGGCGTTCAAATACGCTGCCCGGAATCAGCACAAACATAGTTTAGTAAAACTTGCATAACTTGAGCTACAGAGCTTCAAATTGAGTGAGGTTAGACCTATGTGAAGCTAACACATAGGGTTATAACCCTATAAAATCTTAGAACCATTGATTGATTATATCAATACCAGTTTAGGATTGAAGTTGATGCTGCAACTCCAAAAGTTTGATTTCGTCAGCTATTTTGCGAGTTTAATAACTCCGGCTATACTTAACCAAATGATTAATGTTATACCTTCCCAGAAAGCCCTAGAGGTCTAGTTTCACATACTAAAATATTAGAGTTGATATATATGTTGAAGTTGATGTATGGAAACCCCATAAACATATCTGTTACATAACGTTTAAAAAAAAAGTTTATCCGTATTTTTAAATTGAATCAATGTGAATATAATTGCGTTTAATATCATAAACAATGATAACATGCCAGTTATAGAATGAGGTGTTACAGGAATGGAGAATGTAGCCTTCTAATGAGGTTGTTATGTTGCGATAGTGGGATAGCCAAATCTGTTAATAAGATGAATACCTGTAACGTTTATGAGGTTGTTGGAGAGAATGCTTTACAAGCTTAAGTGATATCGCCAATAAATGTAACCTCCAAATAATAGAAAATACAAGCAAAAAATCATTTAGTCAATTTAGTCTTTTTCATTCTCTATTTTCTTGGTGGTTTTCCCTGCCCAAACTATGGAGATTGTTCTTTGATCACATTCCCTAACACAATCTGTAAGGAGACTAGTCATTGGACTTATTTGTTGACTCAATTTAAAATGTTAATTGCATTCATGTCCAATCGCTAAAAGAGTTTATAAAAGCTGTAGGGATAAATTAAATAGAGTGGTGGTGGAAGTGCGGGTGACAAAAAAGCAGTTCATGGAGAAAGACTTTGACCCTACCCACTTGGAGATGGAATTGCATTCTGCACCTTCCAACTGCGCAAGTAATTATTATAGTAGCTTTAACCCGACATTCTTTCAATTTTAGATTCTTAAACGCTTTATAACTTGCAGACACAAAATTGTTATATTCGCTGAATAACTGCAAGATTTTCGAGAAAAGTGTTTGGTGGAATAATATTCAAACCGATTTTGTACTTGTTTCCATCAAAATTAACGTGCATTTCTTACTCCATATATCAAGGTTTCATTTTTCAAAGCGTTGCGGAAATGGAAAAGAAGAAACAAGAAGCAGAACTATTAGCCGAGAGCACTTCCAGTACAGAGGGAGTACTCACCACCGGACGCGATAGGAGATTTTATCAATGTTGTGAAAATCGGATTGAATCAGCCAGGTTGACCCGGAATCCGGTAAACCGATCATCTGATTGGTCTGGTTATCACATTGGATCGGTCAAGTATCAGACTCGTATGACCTGGTGCGATCCGGTTGATTTTGGTGAAAAAACCGGTAACCCAACCGGTTAACCAATGACTCAGCCCGGGTTTAAAAAAAAATATTTTCAAAAAAAAAATTATTTCCAAAAAAAAAATTATAATTGACATATTTGAGTGATCTATTACTTATTGACTTACATAAGTTATGTACCTATAATACTAATAGTATCTCAGTTATGCACTATGCAGGAAATTTTGATTTGATAGTTAGGGATGTAGTTTACTGAACCTGAAACACCAATATAACAAGCATTATGTGTTTGTTTGATCTTTTACTGGACAATAATGTATAATTTATTATTTTTATATTAAAATATTTAGAGTTTATATTATTTTTTTCTACTATTTGAGTATATTGATAATTTTTTTAATATAAATAATAAATTTATATATAATCACTGAGTCATGCGGATATATTTGTCTACGTAGCCACTTAACTAGAGCCACCCTAATTTAGTGTTTTTGTTTAAGAGTATAATGTCTACCATAGTTCATAGGATATATTTGTCCTTTTACTGATCAATGGGGTGTCTAACACTGACCACTTCTTAAAAATTATCCACTTTTCACTGGTACCACGGATGCCATTATCTTCATATAGTTAATACACTCCATTGTTGGGTGACCAGCATACAAAAATATTAAGATGCTTTTCTTTAGGTGGACTCATAATCAAATGAACCAACTTTTCCCTTAGTTAAATTGAGCCTGTTCAGCTTTTCAGCTATATGACGGTACTGAAGAAAGAACACTCTCCTCAAGTTTGTATGATTGAAATTTATTAATACTAGAGTTAGTCTTTGGCCTATTAACCTAGAATTGAAGGGATTCAATGATGAAACTCTTTTTTTTTGGGTCAAACATGAAACTTTAATTAATGACAAAAATGTGGTTTTAAGGTTGGCCTTCATGTCAATGCTTCATTGTTCATTAGTGTACATATGCCTAAAACTATTTGGTGTCTTAAGAAACATTGAAGGTCTTTTGTTTTTTTTTAAGCTTCTTTAATTCTTTTGTTAATATAACAGATTATTCAATAAACAAAAACTTTAGGTGTAAAATAATTTGAGAGCCACTAGGCAGATGTAGTCAAGTATAAAGGGTCACACAGATTTTCATCCTCTCCTGGATTGTAATTCAACGCAGAAATAGTGAGAAACTCTTCTGCTTATGCCACATAACTTCCACAGGCCACAGTGACATTGTTAATTATAACGCTTTGAAGTTTGAACAAGTCTGACAGCAAAGATATGCTAACAAAGACATAAAGAATTAAAATATTAGCATCCAACTCGTAAAGGCTTTGAGTGAGAATTTAAGTATTCTTCATATTACACACACATGCACACTCAGATTCTACTACAATGAAAGCTAACAACGTGGGCTGCTTAACATTTTAGAATTATCAAATACCTCATTGTCTTCCATTTGCACACCTTTTCCCAAACAAACAAGTTGGCATTCTCCCTACATTACTGAACATGTCTGCTGCCACAAGCTCTCTCTAATAAAGCTTCTCTTTTTGAAAGCCAAAGGAAGGCTCAGTGCACTTCCCGACTTGAAGTAATAGTATTCATCATCATGATAGGTTCTTGGAGGCACCAGTGCTTGTTCTTGGCTCTGCTTGCTTTTGTTGTTCTATCAGAAGGATCAAGATTACCCAAGGAATACTGGGAACAAATGCTGCCAAAGAAGCTACCTTCTCCTACCTCTTCTCCCTCTAAAGGCACAAATTCTGTGTCTACCTCATCTTCCTCAACCACAAAAGCTGATAGTGTTCCTGCATCAGATGGAAAGATCTAATGTTGATTCGATCTCTTGATCTCTGCAGCACTCTCTCTAACTGTACATCAGTGCAGTCTTACTCATAACACAGCACTGATATGAAGAAAGCATCCAAATTTAGCAAATCTGATGTCACTCTTGTAGATCCATTGATCTTGGTCTGAAGACAGTCTCTTGTAAAGATATTTCAGTAACAATTCCTCATTGGACAGGTTAAGTTTATCAATAACGATACTCTAGTATAAATAGATAAGTTGGTGGGACTAGTAAGTAATATGTAAAATCTCTTGAAAAACATTTCAACAATATATGCTTTATTTCATTCTTGTAACATCCTCTATCCTCGTCAGTTATATTTTCCTCAAATTATTTCCTGTAAATTGTACTGTCAGTCAATAATAAAAAATAATAATAATGCTCTTACAAAAAAACGATATAGAAGAATCAAAGAACAACGAGAAAAAAAAAAAAAAAATCCTAAAATACAAGACAAAATTTTACAAATTATGATTAAATAATATGATTGCTCCACTGTCCTCTTATTCACTTCTTTACACACCTAATATTTATAATATATATGAAAACAACAAAAACATAACTGGATTGTTCATAAAGATTACAAAAGGTTGTAGCAGAACTTTGATATAAAATGCTGTGGAGTGTATGCTGCCATGCCATAATCATCTTCCATCATCGAAGTCAATGAGTACATGATCCTTGATGCTGTCATACCCAGTATTTTGATGGCTGCTGCTATCACCATGTTCACGAATGCTCGATGATGCCTCATGAAGCAAGTAATGAGTCTCCTCTAGATTCACGTCTGTGTTGATCCATGGATGCTTTTCCATTAGCCTTATTCCGTCCAACTCCATTGCCACTTCTTTCATGCTAGGCCTCTCCTCCCCTCTTAGTCTCAAGCACTTTGTTGCAAGAATAGCAACCTCCTTGATCTCCTCCTTATTTTCTACATTCAAAATGCCAAATTGAAGAACCTCAAACAAGCGATCCTCTCTCAAGCAAGATAGAAAGTGCATAGCAAGACTTCTTTTCTCCTCTGACCTGTCAAAACAAAGAGGTTTCTCCCCTGTAAGCAGCTCCACAAGCACTACTCCAAAGCTATACACATCACTTTTCTCAGTAAGTTGGCTTGTTTGCATGTACTCTGGGTCCAAATAACCAATAGTTCCTTGCACCATTGTGGCTAATTCAGTTTGATCAAGAGGAACCAATCTTGATGCTCCAAAATCAGACACTTTGGTAGTGTAACTGTCATCCAAGAGAATGTTGGCAGTCTTCACATCTCTATGTATAATTGGTATAGAAGCAGCTGAGTGCAGGTAAGATAGGGCCCCTGCAGCCTCTGCTGCTATCCTTAGACGTGTTTTCCAAGGTACATTACCTGCCTTGCCTTCTTTGTGTATATAATCAAAAAGTGTACCATTGTTAACAAATTCATAAACCAATGAAGGAACTTCTGTCTCTAAACAACAACCCAAGAGTTTGACCACATTCCTATGATTAATTTGTGATAGCACAATCACCTCGTTTATGAATTGTTCAATTTGGCTCTGATCCACAATTTTGGACTTCTTGATGGCAACTATCCTCTTATCTGACAAAATTCCTTTGTAAACAGTACCATAACCTCCTCTGCCGATGATTAAGCTCTCATCATAGTTGTTGGTGGCCTTCTTAAGTTGCTCTGCTGAGAACACTGTAGTAGATTGAGAAGTGTTTTCTCCTGCAGAGAGTCGCTGTTGCAAAATGATACCGCCATTTTGCTTAAAGAACTTCTCCTTCAATTTGATGAGTTTCCTTTTCTCGTATATTAAGTACAGCGAGGAAATTCCCACAATTAGAAGTATGAATCCTGCACCTGTTCCTGCATTTGAAATATTTTGCACGCAATTCTTGAATTTTTCAATGAACTAATATCAATGGCTTACATACTGAACGAACAGAAACACGAAAAAGAGTTGAAAAAACAAAGAATAAAATGAAATAGAATTGGATGCGCTTAGTTGCTTACCAATGACAACCTGGGTAACTATATCTCGTCGGTGGCACCCTCCGTTCTTTGTTCCATCTCCGGATTGCCCCTTAGGACAGAAACATTTGTAAGACCCATCCGTGTTGTGACAATTATTTTCACTTAGGCATGTATTATTTGATGTCTTACATTCATCAATATCTGCAAATCCATCACAGAAATAACTGTATTATCAAACACATACGTTACTAAAGTAAATATTCCTGTTAGAAAAATGATTTCAATCCCTATTGAGAGGTTAATATCTGTTTAAGAAATCGATTCAACAAATTCTCCTTGAAAATTGATATCAAACTTCTTATTCATAAACATAATTAATTCCAACTTGTAATGGAACTCTACCATTTTAAATGTGTGCTAGGGCCTCGGCCTGCTGTTCTTTACACCTAGGAATTATCACTAATTATTTTAAAAGGAAAATTTTCATTAATTTGCCTAGTTTTGATTACATTTTGAATTGGTTTATGACTTAATCGTATGCGAATTCGAACTTATAACTTAGATTTATTGTGGTTAGACTCATTATAGAAGCGTACAAATTATACCACCCCTATTGATTGTGGGTTGTTCCCTGTTTTCCTTTTAAATCAAACATGAAATAATTATTTTTGTGTTATTCCGTGCTTAGATTTAAACAAGTCAAACGCATCCACAAACAAAGAAAGTTAAAAAGAGGAGATATAGATAAATGAATGTTTAGCGCAAAATGTTACCTCTACAACCATCCGGATGGTATGGATTTCCTTCATAACCTTCATTACATATGCATCGGTAACCAAGCAGATCAGTGTCCTTGTCGTTGCAATAGGTATTTTTCATGCATGCATAGTGGACTCTGCTTTTGGAAGCATCACAACTTTGGTTTCCTACGGTCCAATCAACAACCATGGGGAGCATCTCGTAAGGGAAATCATATAAATGATTGGTGTCAAAAGTATAGTTGCCATCTTTGACAACAAAGGAATAGCTGCAGTTTCCCCCCGAATATTCGGTTGAATTGGTGAAGCTATTTGCTTTTATGCTGATATTCCTCATTGAAGGAGGAATATCCACCTGGCAGCACCCGATGCCGGAACACGTTCCATTCTCGATTTTCCTTTCATTGCCATAACATCTTGATAAGCACCCAGTTGAATATACCTCGCTGTTGTAAAAGCTATTGAGATATCCAAAACTATTGCATCCAACAGTTAGGAACTTGTTTTCCTTCCTTGAAATGCTGAAATTAGCAAATTTGAGCGTGGGAAGGTTCCCGGAGTTGAATTTTCCACCTTGGCTATAGCAATTTGGTGATGAGACGTAAAACAATAAGTCCATTTGACCTTGGACGCTTATGTTTAAAACTTGGACGTTACCCAAATATAATATGGAGTTATTGCAAGTAAGGCTAAATCCATTATGCAAGAAACATGACTTATGATCTGATGTAGATGACATGCCTGTGCCGAATGGATATGGAATCTTGACATCTCCACAAGTGTCCTTGCAGCCAGGAAGGGTTTGATTTGGTGGTGGAGAAAGTTTGGCTTGATCAGCTGCAACTGATGATGATACTAGAAGGGCTAATGCAACCATTAACACCTTGCCCAGTTTCGTGTGCTTCTGCTTCAGTTCCATTATATGGCTTCAATTGTTACTGCAGAAAGGGATATATATATATCTATGATTGACTAGTTGCTTGAGCTGCAATTTGGCCAGAGAACCTCATTTATTTATATACTTCAAATTTCTGTTCTTCTCTTTAAGTCTTGTTGACTTGCAACGAAGACTGACCGGTACCGGGTATGCTCTGATGAACGGATGTAATGGGATAAAGTATTTGTGGTATATATGTCAAATTCTTTTTATATAAAAGTATCATAATTTCTATCCATTATAATGAGTTTTCATGATTAAACCATTCATACAAATTCACTAGCAAAAATAGTGCTTTTCATAATGTCTAATATTTAATTTAATATTTTTATATAAAATAAGGTTTCTATATTCAAGTCTCATATTGTATGCCTTTTTTTTTTTACAATTAAATATACCCTTCTGTTCTCACATGGTCATGATTATATTATTATAGACAGTCTTGAAAAGTTAAATTTAAACATCAATACAAACTTGTTAAATATTATCATAATTAATTATTTGAAAATAATATAAAAAAACTTCACTAACAATTTCCTAAATTTGAATTAGTTGCGTTTGCGTATGAGGATGAATTGGTATAATCTAGAGAAATTTTTTTTGAACAATTCAACTTTTAAAGTATGACCAATATTTAAATTTCAGAATTTTTAAATAGATTTAGCTCCTTTAAAATAAAAAGGTACATTTTAGAGATAAAAAAGAGAGTTATTGACTTAATATCATTAATTAAAAAAAGAGTAGATACTCTTTTTGGTCCTCAGAAAAATTCACGAGGCCCGTTTTAGTCCCTAGCAAATAAAAAGGCCCATCGTGGTCCCTCAAAAATTTAAATTGGACCCATTTTAGTCCTTTTGAGGACTAATATGGCTCTTTTTTGAATTTGTGAGGATCACGATTTCAACTAAATGGGTCCTTTTGAATTTTTAAGGGACCACGATGGGCCTTTTTATTTTCTAGGGACTAAAACGGGCCTCGTGAAATTTTCTGAGGACCAAAAATGGTATTTACTCTTAAAAAAATTAAAAAATTAAGTTTTAATAACTTCATAATTCATTTATATATATGTGCATGTATTTTGTTACAATTTTAATAAATAAATTTTCAATCAATAATTAAAACTCTACGTTTTTTTCCTTCTAAATTACACTCCGCGTAGCCACATTAATTCTTCTTGATTGTGCAATGACGTACTTCGGTTATTTTGAAAAATATGAAAATGTTTACCAAAAAAAAGGAAAAAGAAAAATATGAAAACAACTTGCACAATTAGGAGAAAGACAAAGACCATATAATTTAGGGGAATATTATTCTTATTTTACATGAAAGTAATTCTCTCGTATTATAGAGAAAAGTTAGGTGAGGCCCAATATTAAAGGATAAAGGGTCCAAAGTTTTCTACTTTGGGAACTTTGCAGTTAGTTCCAAATATAGCAAACTAAACTAACATAATTGATGGAGTTTGAAAGCGAAAGCAGAGTGAAAGCCAGTGAGGAAGCTGATCTCTTCCTTAGGAGCATAGACAAACCGAAGGTTATCTCAGAGATTGTAATGACTGATGTAGTAGAAGAGAACTCAAGTGTGAACCCCACGACGATGGGGATGAAGAAAGAGCCGCAAGGAACCATTAGCCACCCCGGCTCGAAGCAGAGGAATCCTATTTCTATAGAGATAAAGTTATTCAATTGAATGGCCAAAAATACTCCTCGCTGGAAGAAGAAGAAGAATGAGCATCCAGTCAAAGGGAGGAAGATGAAGAAGAAGACATGGAGGAGGCCGAAGAAGAGGAGGACCCTCTATGCCCTACCTATAAGCTAACCAAAGCCCAACATAAAGAAAATTGCGAACAATGGAGGAAAGCCATCATTATTAAACTACTAGGAAGGAAGATAAACCCGAAGCTCCTTATTATGAAGCTGAAAAAACAATGGAACCTTGTAGGCTCTTACAAACTGATCAACCTAGACAATGGACATTTGTTAATCCGCTTTAAGGAAGAATGGGACTATATGCATGTCCTACAAGATGGTCTGTGGATTGTAGTAGAGCACTACTTAGTGGTGCAAAGGTGGAGACCACTATTTGATCCCTACGATGAGGAGGTGAAGAAGATGGCGGTCTGGTTGAGGATACCTGGTCTACCCATTGAACTTTACTCCAGTCAACATCTTTGGAAGATTGAAAATTTATTTGGGAAAACCCTAGAGGTAGACAGGAGCTCACTTAGAAAAAATGAAGTGGGGGAGGGAGAGTTAACGAAAAAAGCTCGCTTTGCAAGGATTTGTGTTGAAGTGGATATGAGAAGAAGCTTCTTATCAAAGTTTAAAATAAAAGATAGAACCTTCTAGGTAGGGTACGAAGGTATGCATATGTTGTGCTTTAGTTGCGACAAGTATGGACACCGAAAAGATAACTGTGTGAATGGAATTGGTCATGCTCAGAACGGGCAGTTAAGCGGAGCGGTAGAGAATGGTGTTTCTAGAGAAGTAGCTTTGGATATGAGGGGGGAAACTGAAGACCCAAATGCTTTTGGGGAGTGGATGGTTGTGAAGAGGACTCACAAATCTCGTCGGTTGAAGGCAGTGCCAGAAGTTCCGGTGACCGGAAAGGTAAAGCCAATGCCAGGGAACTTGGGGAAGGGTCAACTCTATCTTCAAGGTAAGGATGCTAGTCCTAGGAAGCAGGTGGAATCAGAGTAGAGCCGCTAGGAAAGATATCTTGACTATAGCATTGATTAAACCAGAAAAGCAGATGGCGGTGCAAAAAGTTGTCACATCCTCATAAGCGAAAAACCTTGGGAAACAGAAGCTTGTGGTCAAGTTAGTAAGCATGGAGACAAAAGTCAAAAATTCCACTTTTCCCTCAATAGGGAGTAAAGCGGGTGCCAGCAACGGCTGTCAAAAAGATTTTGTCCTAGTTAACAAAGATCACAGGAAGGAGAAGGAAACCTTGGGGAGTGGAGGCCCAAAAGCCAAAACCAAAGCTCCTAGGAAAGATAACAATCCCTACATTGGGCCCAATAAGAGACCAGATGGCCCAGCTAAAAAACCATTTGGGGTTAATATCAGCAACCCATTACTCCCTCTTCAGCTCGATAACGTTAACCTTTTGCCCAAGCCCGAAGAAAAAGAGTGGAAACGGGCTAAAGAAGATGATGTTTTAACATTAATGAAGTACATGGATAAAGACCAGGAGAATGAGTTGTTGGATCAGACCCTAGTGGTATGGGGGTCTACATCTCAATCTCTTTGATGGTTGCACTTTGCCCTGTTTGGGCTCTTGCTACTTTTTTGATTAGTTTCCTTGTGAATTTCTTTATTTGGAATAATAGGGGTGTGCATAAAAAGGGGTTTTTGGCTCTTATCCGGGACTTAAAGTTCATATTTAAGATCAAAGTGTTGGTCCTTCTAGAAACTAAGTGTAGTGGTGAGAAGGCTGACACTAGAATCAAGTTGTTTGGCTTCAACAATTTCCACCGCCAAGATGCTATTGGGTTTTCTGGGGGGATTTAGGTCCTTTGGGATGACTCTGATGTCTCCATCCAAATCCTCCTATCTCAGCATCAACTAGTTCATGTGAGAGCGCACCACAATGTATGAGTTAATCACTTTTGTGTACGCGAGTCCCTGACGGATGGATAGACACCATCTTTGGGAGGCCCTTAGTCAAATTGCTTTTTCTGTTATAAATGAACCCCTGGATGGTGCTAGGGGATTTTAATGCTATGTTCCTTCGCTCAGAAAAAAGGGAGGGGGAGAGTTATGTTGGAACAGTGCAACAAACTTCAGGAACTGCCTGGACGCTTGCCTCATCAAAGATATTGGGTTCACAGGTCCTAGCTTCAATTGGAAAAGGAATGATCTCCAAGAAAGGTCGAATAGAGTTTGCGTGAATGATAGGTGGAATATTGTTTGGGAGAACATAGGTGTGGTTCACCTCCCATATTATTCGTCAGACCACCGCCCCATTCTCTTAACTAATAGAATTGATGATGATCGGCTAACTGGGAGTAAACCCTTTCAGTTCCTACCTTCCTGGCTAACAGCATTTGATTTTGGTGAGCTAGTCTCCAATTGTTGGAGTACTTCCCATAATTGGTCAGAGGCGAGGGATAAATTCCAAGTTGAAGTAATGGACTGGCATAAAAACAACTTCAGAGTCTCTCAATGCCAAAAGAATAGACTGCATGCTAGAATTAAGGGCATTGAGGAGCATCTCAATTTCAAATATGACCACAATCTGGAAAATTTGTTGAGATCCCTCTGGAATGAACTGGAACGTATTCTCATCAGAGAAGAACTTGATTGGTTTCAAAGGTCTCGATGCAACTAGACTAAAATGGGAGACAAGAATACCAAATTCTACCATTCTAACATGATGGCTAAGAGAAGGAGAAACATCTCGATGCAACTGGATTAAAATAGGAGACAGGAATACCAAATTCTACCATTCTAACATGGTGGCTAAGAGAAGGAGAAACAAAATCAATGCTATAAGGAATGAGGAAGGGGACTGGTTAGCGGAACCCCAGGAAATCATTGACCTGGTTGTGGATTACTTCGAGAGAATTTATACTGTAGAGGAAAGTTGCCTGGACAAATTCCCTGTCAGAGGAGAATTTCCTCGACTAGAGGATGAGAAGCTCTCTGAACTTGGCAATTTACCTTCCAATTAGGAGATTAAGAAGACAGTTTTCAACATGGGAAAATTCAAGGCCCCTGGGCCAGATGGTCTACAAGCAGTATTCTATCATGTGTAGTGGAATTCTATTGACCATTCCTTATGTCAGCTCGTTAAGGATATTTTTCTAATCCGGAAAGGGTAGCTGAGATCAACCAGACTCTCTTGGTCCTCATTCCAAAGGTGGAGGTGCCTGAAAGAATCAATCAATTTCGTCCCATTAGCCTATGCAATGTGTCCTACAAGATATTTACCAAGCTCATAGCAAGCAAATTGAGAGGATACATGCAGACCTGGATCTCTCCTAACCAATGTAGTTTCGTGCTTGGGAGGAATGGGAATGATAATGTTGTTATTGCTCAGGAAGTCATTCATTCCATGAGATTGAAGAAAGGAGCCAAGCAGTGGATGACAATAAAATTGGATCTCAAAAAGGCTCATGACCGCTTG